GAATGTTAACAAACAGACACATCATATATGTGCGTGACGCTGAGAAAATGCTAGTAGAAGTGCAGACGCTGCTTAGATTGACGAGAATACGTAAATTCCCCTATATTTAATTTACTAGAATCAAGGAATGTCTTGAACCTGTTCTCTAAAACTTCAACAAAACGCTGGTCACTAAAACTGGGAGAATGATACAAAAGATCATAATTACCCATCTTCATGCCACGCACAACTGTAATGCCCAAGAAACAGTTACTATCAATGACTTCGTTGGTGCGAAGGTTGAATTGAACTGATTCTTTGACATAAATAGCAACACCGCCAGTGTGTCTAGAATGCGATAAACAAGCAGGCAACATTATATCCCTGAATACTATCTTGATCAAATGCTTCAATTTCTAAAATATTAGTTTCAGCTAATAAAACTAATAGTGGACGTTTTTCCTCAACAATCTGACGTAATGCTACGTAGTTTGTTGACAACCCCGCAATATTCGAATACAAAAAATCGAATTGATTCAAATTCCTGGAACTTGCCTGCTATTTATTGAAACGCAAGCTGCTTTTCTTGTAAGGAATTCAAGGAATGTCCACGCAAACCAACATTACCATCGGGTAGGGGAAGTCTTACTCTACCTGATGGTGATGTTGATTTGCGTGGGCAAGCCTTGACTTTCAAGACATCATCGAAAGAAGTCATTGTTTACAAAAGCTGTTACACCCTAATTCCAGCTCTATCTTGAATGCGTCAATTGATATGTTTGGTTACTAGAGAAGTATTGTCGAAAAATGCTTTCGTTCGAAATTTATGTATTCGCCCAATATTAAGGATATTTATTTAGAGTCTTCTTCTTCTTCTTCTTCTTCTTCTTATTCTTCTTCTTCTTCGCATTTCAAGCTTATTGCATATCGCATATTTAGCTTATTGCGTGCTTTCAACTTAGTGTTCTAGATGCATTTCCACAGTTATTAATAGAGAGCTTAAAAGGTTTAAAGACTGTCATTACACAAAGCCACTCATTACATTGATTTTAGGCACCTCTTAATGATGCACTTTTCGTATTCCAACTCTATAATTCTCAAAAACTAATTTAAATACATTAAACGGTAATAAGAACTAATCGTTAATTCAAGAATAGTTTGATGATGACAAATCTTCCTAATATTCACATTACAGTTATGACCCGATCCTGTCAGCCTCTCCGCGCATCAGACTGTTATTTTTCAGTAACTCCACATCATTGTGATTTCATGTCTTCCTCCTTCAAGATGGATGTTAAAGATACACATACTTTGCTAGCTGACAAAATGGGGTCATTGCTGTAAAATTATTCTCTTCTTTCAGCCTTCATTCAGACTGGATCTAATGATTTAAATTATTTAACTTTTCTTCCATCTCTTCGATAACGGAACATCATTAGATTTATACAGTAATGAATCACTCCTACAGCTTTCACCCTGGTTTTGTCTGTTGATTTGATTTGTTTGAATTGGTTTTCAGCTCTTTTGGTGTTGACAGTCGCGGGCGGTCAATTTTGCTCATGCTCATGCTCTAAGCAAGGTTGCAAAGACTCATTTCAGCTAAAACAATGTTTTTCTAAATTATGAAATAATTAGATGCCATGATCAAATTTTGAATTGGTAGGATACAAGAAGAGGTTGCAAAGAATGTGTTTGACATATTAAACCTGTTTATTTCACTTCATGAGAGTCACAATCAGCGATTTTTCACAAACTCACTCACTCACTCACTCACTCACTCACTCAGCGATCAGCAAATCGCTGATTGTGACTCATAGAAAGCAAAATTTACAGGTTTTATGTTTCCAACGCATACTTTGTAACCTCTTCTTGTAAGTTACAAGTAAAACATGCCATCATACCATCTTTTGGTTTTATTATTCCGAAAAACATTATTTTAGCTGAAATGAGTCTTTGAAACCTTGGCTCTAAGTTTATTTTCAGCTTTTCAATGATGGAACGTCTTCAGATTTATATTATGTATAATGATCCACCATTTTGTTTAGGCTTCAGGCAAATCCAAGTTTAATGCATGATAACATTGATTCATATCAAGGTGAATCCTGATCCAACGAACCCAACTTACTAATAAAATCTCCTTTCCTGTGTCTTTTGTTGAGGTGCAGAGGTAAACACGGCCCACAAACAACATAGGTGTGACCTAATATTCCTTCCCTACTCCCACCTGATTGCAAGGACGTGGCCGGCGCCGTTATTGATCTACAAAATATGTAAACTTATACAATGAGAATGGACGGTCACTCCTAGACCTATTCTGTTGATTCATTGTACAATTTCACTGATTCTGATCAATCCCGGAGTAGCAACCATTGATATGTGCAGTCAGTCTAAGCTAAGCTAAGCTAAGCTAAGCTTAAACGGTAATAAGAACTAATCACAAACATTATGGAGGTATAGGGTTAACTACCCCATTCCCGGCCTATTCAGCACAATCCGCACTTAGGTGTTAATCTAGCGTAGTTTAGCACCAAACGGAATGTTATTATTACAGGTGGCTTCCAAATTTATTTACCTTTCCATATATACCATTAGTTCTGATAAGTGGTTGCGAAATATTCGTTTATTGTTGAAAATGCAAAACTGCTTCTGGCGGATAAACTTGGCCTACGGGTTTTCTTACCGATTGCAACGCCATTGGGATTCTCTTTGGCCTATCGAACGGAAAGAAATATGAATTCACGTGCGCCTTTTGTTTTCGATATCTTATTTTGCGTTCTTCAACACTTTATTTTGCAGCTATTGAATAGAAGCATCGTACCAAACGTTTGTTTGACACATTAACGCCGAAATCATAGATATTTTGTTCTCAAAAGGCCGGGAATAGGCGATTAGGCCGAAGTAGATTTTTCCCTACATATATTTTTTTAATTTTTTTTTATTTTTAATTTTTTAATTTTCAAGACTTGACCCATTTGAATAAATTTTGCTTCTATCTTTGACAATACAGCAGAAGGACTAGCCTATGTTGGCCGCTTGAATACTGGATTCCGTGTGTATTTCTTCAAGATAGTTATAGAAAAAATGCTGTGACGTGTGCGCGCGTAGATACATCCGCGTAGTAAACCGATTGAATAAGTAAATCCGTTTCGAACGAAATATCTAAATTATGTAAGTTACGAAAACCGGGCGAATTCCAAAAACTGTGCGAGAAAAAAAGGCTTATTATCATTTAAAGAGTACAACCAAAATAAATGTGATAACCTATGTTGGCAAGTTGATTAATTTTGGTTTCCTCCATAGATATTCTACTTATTTACTACTGAGCTTTGTATCAAATTAGTTAATTTAAAGAACGTATCAATCATTTCAAGAATTGGCGACTGTACCGAACAAATTCTAAACTACATAAGCACAAAAAAAAAAAACTTTTGGTAAGCTCTACCGAATTGCGAATCACTTCTGCGTAAGCTCTGTAGACGTTAGGGGCGTTGATTCCGACAGCCGCGAAAAGTTAAACATGCATCAATACCACATAAGGAAAGACCGATTTTACGTAGGGTTTAGTTCATAGGTTAACATTGACTGCTGTTTACAAATGTAAGTACTTGAACACTAAGAAATAAGTTAACTCAAATGCTTTAACCGCATTAAAAGAAATCTCGTATCGTATTGAGAGAATAATATAGTAATCGAGTACAACAAAATCAGGGTAATTACAATACCTCCACAAGTTTAAACGTTATTAACTGTCACATACCTCTACTTTTGATAATTTAATAAATTATTAAAAGCTCTAATTCACCTAATCAATCATAACCCATGTTTTATTAAGTACCTGCACTTGTGCTTGTGATCTAAAATTAAACGTGTTTCAAATACTTTTGATTTTGGCCTATACCTATTTATTATATCTTAGTTTGACTCAGAACACCTTCATTTTTACATTTACACACGCTTCCACTATGTTGCACCACACAAATACGCATGGGTATGTCACAATAGAAGCACGTCACAGTGGAAACCCGAGCCATAGTTCAAACACTTATCCCAAATCAAAATGAAGCACATATAAGATTAGTTACAATACCATGTACAAAAATTATGTTTAACATTGTTTCCTGAGTAATACTTCAATGAAAACAACAATGAAAGCTTATCACGCCAATAGAAGGAGCACCGTTGGGCACTTTCTGAAATATATCAATAGTATAATTCCCTTGCAAACCCAAATAGATCTATCTGCGTAAAAATAAATAAAATAAGAGTGATTTGCGGCAAAACCCGCCAGTATCGCACCCAACGTCAGTGCCTATTTATACGTAAGCGTACTACGACGCGGCTCTCAATCAAAGGAGTAACAAGTGTGATACTATCACTGCTAGACTAGATCTTTGGTTCTCTCATGCAGTGGTTTATCAGAGAGGGGAAGCTTAGTAATCCCCATTGCCTGCCCATGGCGCCATTCTATCAAACAGCAAAAAAATAATTTTGATATCACGTCAAAGTGGATGCACTACAATCATGTCGAAAATATGGTGTAATATTACTTGCTAAAAAGGACAAAATTATCATTAATACAATGCATGAACTGACATTACGCTGCTTTTACTGCATTTGTTTATTTATGTGGTCATAAAAATTACATGAAATTTTCGACATGATTGTAGTGCATCCACTTTGATGTGATATCAAAATTATTTTTTTGCTGTGCAAGGCATGAGCCAGCAATGCCGGCCATAAACCTACTGTCTCCAACACTCCACTATAAAGCATGAAATTAAGCTCGCCCACCAACAGCAAGGTGCAAAAACTAGCCAAGGGGAGGGAAGTAGATTTTTCCCTACATATTTAAATGTAAAAATATAAAAATCATCAGTTAAGTACAATCTGATTCACAAGGGCACGTATCTTCTTTTGCACCGTGCTTTTTGTCATATTTTGGCATGTAAAGTCTGAAAAAAAATCCCGTTTGAAAACTCGGGAGAGCATATCGTGATCTCCCCTTGCTACTTTTATTTGCTTACTTTATTGGAATATAGGAGTGTGGAAAGCAGACTCTTACCCGTTCGTTACCATATTTGAACAATAAATAAAGACAGTCGATGAAATTTTACTCGAAGGGTTGCAATATGCCCATATAATTGAAATTAAAACAAATTATCACTTTATTGTTATTGTCACAAAGCTGATCTACACACTAAAACAACAGCACTAACAACTTATGCAACATAAAAACAAATCTCGTTTACTTAAATTTATCTAACCAGGAATGTAAATTGGGTTTTGGTCATATTGTTCATTTGTAAACACCGTGGAGTCAATTGTTGAGATTCGACAGCGTGGCATCCGATTCCTTAATTGTGCGAACGTTATTTGATTCTTCGTTTCATCGGTAGTAAAAATGTAAAAGAAACAGTTGTCGATGTTAAGTTTGTACAGATGCCGGAACTTTTGCGGGAAACATTCCAGTAGAGAAATTTCCTGAAGTTAAAACGACTTTAAATGGAAGGGTTATTGAATAAACTTTTACACCTACCGTAACGATAGTGTTGAGATCAAGTTTTTGCAGAGAAGGAAGCTGTGGACAGTTGATGAATAACTGATTCGACACTGACATGTCACGAATGGTCAGCGTTTTAAGTAACCTGAGGTGATCCAGGAACTCGAAGGCACAGGACGATAATTCGTAGTCAAAGTTCAAAAGGTTCAATGTCCTCAAATTTGTAAATGTTTTGGTGACTTGGTGGATAAATTGAGCATGATTCTTTTGGGAACTACTATATGAAAGTGTAGTCAAATGACATAGATTCGTGCATGGTAAAGTAGAGTAATGTTTATAGGGCATCAGCAGTTCTTTGAGATGTGGCAAATCGAGCCGAATGGGTTCTCCAGCTGTTGAACATCCACGTAGATTCAGGTACTGCAGTTTTTTGAAATAGGAGATAAACTCAACTATTGTCCAGTCCAGTATTATGTAGTTCACAGTAAGATATTCTAGATTCTCTGCATGAGTGAACACCTTCAAATAATTGTGCCGCAGCATGTTACATTTGTCGACCACTTCTAATGTTTTCAATCTTCGTATCGAACCAATAAACACATTTAATTCGTTCCAGCTGCTTACAGGAGTTGGCGAAACAGTGTACGGTAGGTATTTGTCATTTTCTATCGTAATGTGTAGTTTTTCCAGATTTTCAAAGTTGCATAAGAAAAGCTGTGCAACTAAGTCTTTGGACTGAAAAATAACTGTCAATTCACTAAGTTGTCGGCTAACAGCATGTAGTAGATCACTATCACTTTGATATCGTGCTACTATATTTAGCGATGTAAGGTTTGGTGTATGTAGGTGGCACGGTGTGTGTTGGTAAAAAGACAGCTTCAAGTATTCCAATGTCTGGCTTTCAATTTGTAATCCCTTGTTCAATGTTCTGAAACCCTCGTTAGCCAAAATATTCAAGCGCTTCAGTTGTTTCAATTTCGGTAAATTAACTATCACCAAATTGCAAAGCTGCTCATGGTCTGATCTCAGAAACAGATTTACGCATTCAACTACTGCTTCACCGCTCGGGAATGCCTCCGATACCGTCGTCAAAATTTCTTCTGTATCAAGCATTGCACTCGAGTGAAATTCTATATTTCTCTGAATATTAATCAGGCCTACTTCAACTCCTGAAAAGAATTGCACTTTGGTATAGTTGTACAGGACCAGCTTGGCCTGACGTAGATAACGGTCCGAATTGATGATACCATTCCAGCGTCGACACACCAAAGAAGTACGTTTCCGATCGGTCCACGAAAGAAAATCAAATATACAGCAGAGCACCTGAAATTAAACTGTAATAAGTAAAATTTGTCTTATATCGAAAGGCGTATGTACTGTACCTCGCTGGGAAAGCAATTGATATCCATTGGAAGGTTGATTTGTATCCTTTCGTGAGCACAGTCAACTAATGAATAATACATCGGCCACTCGTGTGCGGTGCCAAGGTGCTAAACAAGTTTGTAGTAAACACGATGAAATGTCTCATTGGATTGATTTAGCGATAACACCTACAAATAATCATTTCGATTATGTTTACAATCAGAAAAACAACATTGCCAGACTAATCCCGGGAAATACATAACAGCCTATAATACTGGGTACGTAACGCTTGTCTGTCGCTAGCTGCGCAAATGTAACCATAACGTAGCAAGTATATGTTCATGAAAAGCCTAAAGAGTGTTTTATTCGGCACTCACCAGGCATAACATAAGAAATGACATCGTTGTGACTAGGGATGTCGTTGAAAAGTTACATCTTTTGAAATAACTGTTACACACTTTTGTTACCGATCTATTGATATCAACTGTTCATACATATTATTTCCTGTGGAAACTTGACGGCAGGTCAAAAGTTCGATTTAAACACTCTTCCGAACAAACCGTTCTAGCTACTAGGGTGTTTGGATTGTACAAATCTTTAATCGCGTGCATCTCCGTTAATCGCGCATGTAGGCCATAGATTTTAAGAAAATCTGTGAAATCTAGAGATATCTAGAAAACTTTGTGGAATTCAAAAGAATTTCAGAGATGTGGAGATAGCTTGAGGGAAGTTGTGGACACTTTGAAAAAGTTCCAAGTACATCAAAGAAGTTAGGTCTAAAAACCTATAAGAATTTCAGAAATCTTAAGGGCAGTTCTAAAAACATCAGAAAAGCTCTGAGAACTTCAAGCAAATCCAAACTTTCAGGGAAGTTTGAAGTTCTGTGCGAGTTAGTTCCGATAAATTCAGGTCAATTCCACATTTACGGATTGTCCGGGTCCACATTTCGGTCCCAGTATCCCAGTATCATCAATGCATGTGATTTTAAGCAATTTTCAAATGAAAAAAAAAAAAGATTGTCATTTCACAGATAGCAATGCTTGGGTCGGTTGCTATCGCGTTGCTATATTTGTTAACCTGCTGTTCACCTTGTTATTGGTTATTCTCACGCTTGCATAGCAACACCCGATTCGGTTGCTGCGTTATGGTAGAGGTTGCTAAAATAGCTTTAGCAACGCATTGGTGCGGGGCTCTAAACATTCAGAATTTCGAACATCGAAACACCCCTAAAATCACGATTATGGCCATATTTACAGAGATAAATGCGACAAAATATTTGGAAAATCAAAAAAGAAATTAGCATCTTAAACAACAAAAAAGAAAACAAAAATCATGAAAATTCGAACCACCAGACACCCCTAAAATCACGATTATGGCCATATTTACGGAGCTTATAAATATAAATATTTGGAAAATCCAAACACCAAAAACAAATAACGTTTCTTGGTTTTCTATGGAAAAAACATACATTTTAACATTTCTAACATCCAAACAACCATAAAATCGCGATTTACGGAGATAAACGCAATTAAAAATTTGTAAAATCCAAATACAAAAAAAAAATCATGAGAGGAAAAAATAAATTTTAGAATTTCGAACATCCAAACATTCATTAAATATATTAAAAATATGTAAAGTTGTATATTGTGTGGAAATCAAATTGATCCTATATGTTCAGTGATTGAGAAAATTTTCAACCCGAAAAGTTCTTCTTTTGACTTGGTAAAAAAAAACCCGCCACCTCCAGCAACGGAAGGTCGCACTAATCACAGTAGTTGTTTAAGTGGCATAATAGAAGGTTAAGAACAGCGTCGGCCCTTCCGAGACCCGGGATTTTCTCAAGAAAATTAATCACGAATTTATCCAAAAGAAACTCTGAAATGTTATCTGTGAGCCAACTCGAGCAAAGTACAGCATCAAAATGATAGCAAATCGAAATCAAATTTTGATATCAACACATTTTGTTTTCATTTTGCTGTACATTTGGTCTTTAAAAATATGTTGTTGCAGTTTTGTTTTCATTGCCTTAGCAGAACATCAACATACTCATTATGTTATCAACGGGAAAAATGTACATCAAATTCAGTTTTCAGTTTTCTCTCACTGATAGCAGAATTAGTTTTGAATGTGATTTGCTCTCCATTTTGATATTTTAATCGTTAAAACAACCAAACCAACAGCAAGTCGAGTAATCATTATCAGCGACATCACAACATTAAATTTAGTGTTGAATTTGATCTCAGACATTGCTCGGGTAGAGATTTAATTATCCTAAATGATTGTTTTTTATAAACCTCATTTACAACTGTGAACATCATACGGAACTGCAAATAAATATTGTGATACAACTACGTTAAAATAATTTATTCAGATGATTTAAAATTTGTGTTACTTTTTATTTGTTTAATAACATTTATTTTCTTTAAATTAAAGAAATCTTAATAGAAAAAAAATCATCGACATTTGTAATTTCGAGTAATTTTCACAACAGAAAACGGTACAGGTTAAAAATAAACCATTCAAAACATAATGCACGAATAATACCATCTTAAGAGAGAACGTTTAGATCCTAGTTTTCACAGCACTCAGTCTTCTCGGTATGCCTCGTTTGTGTAAGTGGCTTTCGGGGCTTCTAAACCTTTCTCCAGTGGACCTTGATCGAGCTTCAATGGAATGTCATCGATTTTATTGATATCCGGTTTCTTCATATCACCCGATTCAACGTCATCGTCCTCATGTTCCGCATATTCATAGCGCGAGGCAAGAATCATAAAGAGCGCCATGTCCAAGAGCATTAGAACCGCGAATAAGAAGAACTCAACCGATTGAGATTCGACAAATTTGGCTTCTGCGATAAATACCACCAACATGTTTCCGATGGCCACTGTGAGGAGCCAAAAGGCTTGAATAACGGATTTCATGCTTTCTGGCGCTTGGGAGTAGGAGAATTGTAGACCTGTGATCGAGAACATCACCTCGCCGGCGGTGATTACCACGTACTGGGGTACTAACCAAAGCATGTGCAGCGAGTTGGAGGGAGCTACGGTGTGTCTTTGAAGTTTCTGAAAGAAGTAGTGCAATGTTTTTATGAGAACCACGTGACATGTGACAATACCTATATACTTACAAATTCGTTCTCCAAAACTTCATGCAGTATAACTGTGTAAACTCCTCCTAGTTCGAATTTGGCGGAAGCAATTTTTCTGGTGCCATTATCACTATACAGGTCGTATTCTCCATCGGCAACTGTAAACTGGTCGTACGTATTCAGCGATACGTTATACTGCAAATCGCTGTTCCAATTATTTTTGAGCAGTACTTTCTTGGCGGTCTTTATATTAGCTAGAATCCTTACTCGAGGTAGACCTCGTTTGTCCTTTTCAGCTGAATCCGCATACTCAAGAAGGTTTACCTTATTAGCTTTCTGGCTAATGAAATAGCTCACTGCATTTCCCGGATTCAGATAGAATGTACCCGAAATATTAGACATATTAGCCTTAATACAGAAACTCTCTGTCGTATCGGCCGTAAATCGGAACGTAGTATTTACCTTCGTGCTTACGTGAATGGCTTCAAATGCTCCAATTGATTGAACAGTAAAGTTTTTGAAGTCTGGTATATCGGTTTTGAAGTGATAATCACATGGCAGTCCGTTGTAAATTCGCAGTTGAGACTCAGTTGGCATGGGCAAAACTGCGTTTGTTTCATCCAGAGCAATTTCAACGAATCCTGATAGAACAAACGCTGCACCAGCTAAAATACCGCCAAAGGAAAGCTTTTGCAATGGTGTACGAATGCCGATTTTTTCCAGAACAGGATAAACCAAACCTTCGAAGAATGGAATGAACACAAGGATAAGCAAAGGATTGATCACTTGCATCTGGTCGGGTTTAATCGTGAATGCTCCAATTTCACCATTCATTCTCGTAGCTTGGAAAGTCCAGCGAGATCCTTGTTGATCGAACAATGCCCAAAATACGGGCAATGGAATGTATAGCACCAGAATCTTCATCAGCGACTTAATATCTGCAACGATTTGTCTTCCATATTTCGTTTCAGCATAATCCAACCAATGTGATTTGGGATTCTCGTCTTGTTCCTTGACCTTGGTAGACAATGCATTTCCAACGCATTTGAATACCAATACGACCATGTTGCCGGCAGGTTTTCTGATTGAATACATCGATCTTCCGCATACGAAGACCAGAATCGAGACAATCATCAGCACTGCAGGCACTCCGAAAGCGAGCGAGAAACAATCGGTTTCATTGAAACAATGTATATCTTCGCGGAGGATTGGGGTTAGGGTAGTTGAGATAAGAGAGCCAGCATTGATTGCAAAGTAGAACAAGGAGAAAAACTTTGCCAATTGAACCGCTTGATCGGGAAGCTTGAATTGATCTCCACCAAATGCCGAAACACATGGTTTGATACCGCCAGAACCGACCGCAATAAACAGGAGTCCTAAGACGGTCATCGATCTAAAAGCGTAAAAAATATGAGATTAAATAGGCGCATTATATGACATATTGACTTACGTGGCAGGTAAGTTGAGGGGCGGGATAGCCCCCATTGCAATTAATGTGCTTCCAATACAGTACACAATAGACAGGTACAGGATAGTTTTGAATTTGCCGAGAAAACTGTCGGCAAGGATGGCACCCATTAGAGGGAAGAAGTACGCTAAACTTGTAAAAATGTGATATATTACGGTGGCCGTGTCGTCATCGTAGTTGAGCTTTTGGGTGAGGTAGAGAGCCAGAACAGCTGCAAGAGAATTTTAAGCAGTTAATGGAGTTAACATATTGAATGAAAATTTTATGAACTTACTTCGCATTCCATAGTAGTTGAAACGTTCGCTGAATTCATTGCTGATTATGAAGAATATCGATTTTGGATACCGTACCGGCTGGAAAGGAAGCATATGCGTAATGGACTTTTTGTTGATTATATAACATTAATGCATCGGTATTGGTTCGAATCAACGAAATGCGATTGTTTTTTTGTGACGTAGGACAACGTCTGTGATTTCTATACGGAGGTAAGCTTTGTGAAAACCGAAAATGGATCATGTAACAAAATTATGAAAGATTTCGAACGTTAATAACTCAGCTGCCCCTGGGCCAATTTCAATAACTTTATCACCAATCGATCAGCAATATTTCTACGCATCTGTTAAACTTAAGATTTTATAAATTTTCAAAATGTCACTATTCAAAATTGCACGAATGTTCAACTGTTGCTATGATAATGACAATTATCACCGATTGCCTGCGAAAAGCAATTTTCCTAGCACAGATTTCAAAGTTGAATTCTATCCGGTCTCACCAAACGGTGTTTATTCAATCATCGCGTGGTGATTGTGGCGGTGTTCTCCAGTACACAACGAAAGGTTGCCTGCAAGCAGCGAGCTGCAGCCCACATGAGCATCCATAGGAGGAAGAAGCCGCACCGCTATTGATCGGAATCAGTAGCTCTTCGTGAGTCGCTGTGGGCTATCTATGTCAAGCGCGTCATACTAAAGAGTATAAACAGAGAGAACCCCGCTCAAATTCCTATTCCTACACAAAACACAAGCTCCTGCTGCAGTTAACAAATAAGATTTATTATATAAGACCACGTAGTCGTACGTCGCCATTGCGTACAACCCTATAGGGCT